ACATCTAAAAACAAGCAAATATAAGCTGGTGGGGAGTGCACGTAATATGTAGGCTGATGTTGACAAAAGTATGTAAATAAAACTTAAAATCAGAGAATGGTTTTGAAGAGAGAAGGTTATGGTAAAAATCAGAATAAAGAGTAAAGGATTAGTTAGAAGGACTTACAGTAGAGCTAAAGGATGGCTATTTTGAATGTCAGTGAGGATGAAGAATGAAATTGGGGCACAATTAAAGGGGTGGAATGAGCGAGAAGATGAAACAAGGTTTCTAGTTTAAGTGACAAGTGTACTTCTCCAGATAGTGATAGGGACAGAGACTAGAAGAGGGGTTGCTTTTGGAGTCTGGTTGTGATGAGACAAAGCCTGCAGGAGACAATCTCAATTAAGAAAGACAAGAGATGAGACTGGAATAATAGAGATGTTAAGACAGGCATTTACGCATTCCAGTATAATAGTTAAATTTATGATCAGAAAAGACTATGGAAATACAGAGTGAAGTTGAACTTTTTTGTTTTGACTTCTAGCCTGTTTATTTCATGTCCACTTTGCTTTTAAAATTCCTTACTCATGCTCTCTGCTCTGTTTTTCTTTCCATTTATTATTTTAAGTATTGTCATTCAACCATACCTTTTGAGAAATTCAAGAAAAAGCAGGTATGATTAAGGGCTAAAAGAAACCCTGTAAAAGAATCTAATTACTTTAGAAAACATATTAGCTTACTTTGCAGTATTTTTTTTGCTTTATGGATGCCAAGAGAGGATTAATCTATAATGTCTTTGTTTGTGATTTTGCCTTTTATTTCAGTTTATATAATTAAAGAGTTCCCAGGACTGCTTTTTATTTTGTTCATCAAAACATACTTCTCAAATGTTATGAAAACAGAGTCCAAAAATATTGCAGTCCAAACCAAACCTATTCAGTTTTCTCTTGGAACACAATCAATGATAAAGTCATACCTTGTATCTCATTTTTAACTGAGTAAACACTGTTTTGTCCCTTAATATATAATTCTTTAGAGCATTCACTTTATGTTCTCCCACTTCAATATTTGAATATATCCTAGTGATACATTTAGTGAGATGCATATAATCAGGTATAATATAGTTATTTCACAATTACTGTTTGAGGATGAAGTCCTCACTGCACTAAAGTCGCAGAGGTCTCACTGGGTCACTCTGTGTGTGTGCTTACATTATGTATTTTGATTCTGTTTTGATCATTTACTTTTGATGAAAGATAGGGAAAAAAGTTTAAGTAGCAAAAATCAAAATAGCATGTCTGTTGTTGTTGGGGTATGGGAATCAGAAGAAAAATGGACTTACCAGTCTCAGCTCTTATTCATAAAATATTCTCTTTTCTCTTGCATGCTCTTTTCATGTAAATTTTGAGTCCCAGCTGATCATGTCATTGTCCTGACCAAAAAAAGACCAGAGGGTGGTTTTAAGAAAGTAGTTTTCAAAGGGACTGAATGTATTTCATCAAAAAAGATGGTACCTTCTAATGTTGAAACTCTGGCCTGCTGTGCATGTGCATGTTGTGTATCTTATTGTTTACCCCATGTTAGTGGGTGAGAATTAGTATTTTTCTTCTCTCAAAGTCAAACCCTTTCCCAGACTCGCTGTAAACAGAGAACAGAACTTTCAAGCATATTTTTTTTTTTTTTTTCGGTGAATTATCATTAGGAAGCTGAAATGTGCACCCAGGAAAGCTGGAAAAATAACTTGAAATATCAGTGTATAGCAGAAGAATGCAACACCAGAGCAATTTCAGTCACTGAGCTGTTAATTCTGGTTTTGGTAGGTATACTTTTGAAGAGGTGGTCAGCTAAGCTGCAGAATCTGCCAGGAACACCCCTTCAGATTGAGAATGGGATGTGCATAGTAAGGAAGATGTGGAAGAGGATAGGAGAGTATCCTATTCCCAGCACTCTCCAGCTCTGGGAATGAGCTGCAGCTCAAGATTTTGTTCATACTGCATAATGACAAGATATTCTGCTAAGCAATCCAGGTTAAATTTTTGGTTAGCTAAACTGGAAATATCTTCCAAAGGACTGAACCAAAATAAAAGAACTCGAAGTTTTAACTGAACACAATTTCTGATATTTAAAATCAGCAATTAGGCATTCAGTGAATGTAATAAAAAAACATTGGTTCTATTTGAATCAAACATAGAGTGTTTAATATAAAAATGATATAATGTATATCTTGACATATTAGGAAAGGGCCCTGATCTATGGAATGGTGTAGACCGACATTTTGGCGTGGATTTTTTTTTGGTGCACCATCCCTGGTATTTGAAAGAGTGGTGGTGTCACTGTTGGGAGCAGCAGCTCCCAGCTCAGTGTCAAGTTGAGGATCACCATTTGGGAGTCACAGTTGTAAGACCCAGCACAATCACTTTGCATCAGCATCATTTGTTTTATACTTATGATACAGGTGCAGCAAAAAGATAGAAATGTTGGGAATGAGTGTGGCTGCTCAGGAGAATGTGAATTGCAGCTTCCTTTTCCTGGTTGTGCTCACTCACATCCAGACTGTTGACTTTGGAAAGGTTAAAAAAGCAGTGTAAGAAGGTTCAATTTCAACAAGAGTTAGAAGTTGTTACTTTAACCAAATGTTAGTCAGACACTCCCCAGCCTGCAGTCCAAATGGGTTTCATACTTGAAACACTGAACTATATCCATGTGAGAGAACGCAAGGCAACGTCTTGCAAAGGGAGGCTCGTACTGAAACTGCTCCTCAGAGATAATCTGTAGCGCAGCAATGAGGAGCTTAACGGAGGACAATGCCTGCAACTTCTTCTTAGGGATGTTATATCCTCTTATGTTACAGTACAGTACCAATATAGCTGTGGTTTTGACTGACTTTATCAAAAAACTGACTGCATTGGTGTTATTTTTAAGCTCTAGCTTCTGAAATCCTAAGACCATCTGAGATGTATCAGATTTTCTTTTAAAAGCAAGGCTGCAATTCTTATCAGTTCCAGAGAGAAATCAGCAAGACAGCACAAGGACCCACATTTTTGCTTAAAACAAGCAAAGAAGGTGGTATTTAAAGCCTACACTAAAGTCAAGAGATCTGCACTATGATTTTGAATGTTTCTTATCAGCAGTACTGAGCATTGCAAAAAGAACAAAAGCATGGCTCTGAAGCCATGCTCTTTTGAGTGTATGATACAGCCAGAAGCTTTGATGCTCTTCTTTAGTACGTTTTCCTTGCTAGGGAATGGTAAGAAAAATGTTGGAAAATGTACCAAAGTTGTTAACAGTGTTTTACCAAGAATGCCAGTCCACCTGGATCCTAAAGTTGATCCAGTCTGGCAGTTTCTGTGTTCACAAGTTACAGGGGAAAAGGCACGAGGTTTTTTTCTGCATCCTCTTTCTGTAATCAGCAAAAAGTCAGCCAGACATTTCTAGCCTCCTCCAGGAAACATCCCTGATAAGTATAACATTTAGGCATTTAATGAGCAGGATTAATGCACACACTTAAGTTTAAGGATATTTTTAAGTGCTGTGCTTTCAATCTGAGATGTAGAGTAGATGATTAAAGACAAATGGCAAACATTTGTGAATTTCTGGACTCGTATATATAAACTATGTAATCTGCAGGCTTGGATTCACTTGTGGAAGGTTAATTAACTTCCATCTTCTGTTGGTTTTGCTTGTCCGAAGCAATGTCACATCTTGTCTCTTCTTCAACCCAGCATACCAGAGACTATGAGCTAGAGCCAAACTGCAGTGTGACGTGAAAGTTGGAAAGGGACTCCCTTTGTTGAAGTCCTGTGCTTGCACACCTGTGTGTTGTGTGACCAGAGAATGAAATATTTATGTCACGTGAGCTAAGGCAGAGCGAGGAGTGTATGCTCAGACCCGTTCTCCATGTCACATGAGAATTATCTCCACCTCTGTCTAATCTCATGTGCAGATAGATACAGATATTTTACAGTAAGGAAATAAAGAATGTGAAGTAGGCTTCAAACCAAGGGTGAATGAGTAAAGAGCTGATGATTTAGGGCTGTTAGTACAGATTAGGGATAACTATGAAAATTTGTAAGAAACATTTACAAAAAATAGGATCTACATTATATCAAGTGGATATGTGTCATGTCTTTGCTTATGCCTTCATCTGCATTGCCAGTTTAGATCATAAAAACGGTTCAAAATGCCAAACACACATATAGTTTACTGGTATTCTCAGTTCTGACTGTTTCCCTGAGTGCTTAACTTTGGGGTTTTTTTTTCTGAAACACACCAAAATGAAGTGATTGGCTGAGAATCTCAGTTGCTCAGTTGCTCTAGCAGAACTAGAAGTTTGTTTCTAGTTCTCCATCATGGAAACAGGCTTGAAAACTTGAACTTTGAAGTGATAAGCATCAGAAGAAAATAAAAAGAACCTGATATGTATTTTAATAATGTAATTATACTTCATTGTCTTATGAGAGTTTGAGGCAATTCAAAAAGTCATATGTAAGTATTTGAGATTGGCAGCACTGGTTTCTATAGCTTAACAATTCTAATTTGTTTTTACATAATTTGGGAAAGATGCTTTGCAGACAAAGTAGCTGGTAAGAGATAAGAGAAGAAATAAGGAGCCTGAAATTCTCCCAGCAACCTGTCAGTAGTTGACAGAATTGACTTTCTCTCTTCATTGTTATGGCTAAATTTTAAAAGAAATAGCATCATTTTAGTATCTCCATTATTATATAAAATCTATTATAATTCCATATGTATTTGTTGATGTGTGGAGATATGTGTGTGTGTGTGTTGCTTATTACTACATTCTGATTCTATTCCCTTTTTGTCATTTCTCACTTTGAGACTCTTGTCTCATTTTCTTCAGGTTTGGGGGATTTTGCTTGTCAGCTTTTCCTTTTTCAGGGTTGTAGCATTTGTTTCTTTCATTTCTTGACGTAAATGCTCCAGTCACCTAAAGTGTAGCTTCAAGCAGTCCTTTGTGTGACTAGAAGAAATTAGCTAAATAGCACTGTTTAATTAATTTCAGGACCGCCTCTTTTTCGTCATGGAATATGTAAATGGAGGAGACCTAATGTTTCAAATCCAGCGCTCACGCAAATTTGACGAACCTCGATCCCGCTTCTATGCAGCAGAGGTCACATCAGCACTCATGTTTCTTCACCAACATGGCGTCATCTACAGGTACTTTTTTTGATCAAAAATAAAGTATTCTGGAGGCTTGGGGCTGGTTTTGGCTGAAATCCTCTGTCTCTTAGCAACCAGATTTAGATTAGTTGTTTGTTCCAATTTGCTTACATAGAACTTTTTTTGGCTGTTTATCATTGAGAATGTTAACATTTGAATAGCCTCTGCAGCAGTCGCCAGCTGTGTGTGCCAGTTTTGTATTATAGTCCAAATAAAGCGGTTTTGAAAAAGCTTGGCACAGTGCGACCCAGAGGTGACCTTTCTGCAGATCAGTGCAATCTCTTCACTTTCCTCTCTGTGCCATAGATTTCCTCTCGGTTTCTAACTCCCTGCCACTTCCTGAGTTTGTTTGTCCTAGTTGTCTCCACTCTGATACAATCGGGATGGTCGTTTGCAATGCTTTACTTATGCCCCTTCCTCTTGACTGTTTGGGTGAAGGCTTACTCACCAGCAGGAAGTGGCTCTTTGCAGACAACTTTGATTTGCTTGCAAGTGCCCCGCATCTATTTGAACCTCCACACCCCTGCAAATCTCTAATCTTGAACACCCGTGCGCTCACACAAAAAAAGTGCGTATTGTTGCGCTGTGGTGAAGAACGCATTTAGGGATAGGCTTTTTTAATTAAAAGTAAGTAATCACTTTGAAAATTTTCACCCTGATGTTAATGTGTTTATTAAGTCCTTTATCTTGTCATTTCACCCTTCCTCTCTCTTTATTTGTAGCAGCCTGCCATTGCTTGCGATAAATTTAGGCTTTCACAAGCAGCGTGCTTTACAGGTTTTGTGATACAGGTCTGTCCTGTCTACTAAAAATTCTGAATTCTGTGGATCTAACTGAGTTTTGATATTCTCGCTCTCTTTCATGTTATCAGTTTTGATTTGTGGTAGTCATCTCAGGGACAGGCAGTCTCAGATTTCTTGAGCAGAAACATCAAGATGAGGATGTGGAATTTGTCACATCCTTGGATTCATATTAAGGCTGATCTTAAAGTACTAGAAATTGAAAGAAGTGAATTTTAAATGTTTAGTAACCAGGACTGAGTGGTAACTTCCATCAGAGGCCATTGGCTTTCCCACCAACTGAGATTCAAAGGGAAACTTCTCAGAGAGGGAGTCTCCTTTCCAGAGACATAGCAAACAGCAGTACATTGCATCTTTTGAGGAAAATAAATCTCTGTGAAAGTGGTCTTTCAGTCAAAAATCCAGTTTTCTTTAGAAAACTCTTTTGCTATCTGCAGCTTTTGATCTCAATCTTTTAGTAACACTGGTATGATGTTTGCACTTTGGGTTGGACTTTTGGCCACACCGCTTTGCACAGGTTTGTTTTCAACTGCTGAAGATCCCGCATATTTCTCACCTTTGCTGCCCGTACCACATTTCTTACTCATTGTCTGCATTTATTTCCAAATGTATTTGTACATTTAGATAATAGAATGTGGTGGAATTTAGAAGTATCCATCATAAGGGAAACAGACAAGATCGGCACTTTAAAAAGTGAAGGATTTTGAGGATTTGTTTCCATAAAAAGACTTGCGCTAATTTCCTCTTCCTGAAAACTGGAGTTTAGACACTTTGTAATTAGCAGTCAGTTTAGTGATTTCTGTGAACCAGTAAGAAAGAATTGGTAAAATTACCTTCCCCCTTCTTTATGTGAGTGTGCATTCATTCTCCCTCTTCCCTCCCTGCTCCCATCCTTCAACACACATCCTTTTCTCTCTCCTCTCTTTCTCTTTTCTCCCTCTTTTCCCTTGTCTTGTATGTAGCTTCTGCTGCGTGTTGGCTCCTAGCTGCATTGAATTGCTTTGTGTGCCTGCGTTCTTTCTATGACTTTTTATCATCAAAATGCTTCAATCCCAAGAGAAATGTTTTTCTGATGAGACAATGCTTTGTAATTTAAACTTTGAGAGATACTCTCAACTTCTGATTCAGAGACTATGCTGGCATGTCTTTGGCATGCTACGGTAAAACACTGAAATTGTAAATGGCATGCTATATTGGGTGTATTATCAGAAGAGGCAAAAGAAGAGAATAACGTGAGTTGAAGGATGGAAGCAGAAACTAAAAAAACCAACAGGAGGAACACTAGGAACAGATTTAGTTGTATTCTGCTTTGACACAGGCTTTTGGATCTGAACATAGTTAAGTCCGTAAGAATAACTCATTTTCACAACTGGGGGATACTAGGAGCTTCAACTATTCATAAAATGTATATCCCAGTTACTCTATAAAATACAAATAGAAGGAAGAAGTTAGAGATTATCTTAAAAGAATTAATCGTAAGAAAATGTCACAATTCATTCATAGTGTACCAGGCCCTGGGAGAATGCGTTTATTAATGTCAAGCGTATGTTAGAACAGTTGTCTTGCACAGAACGGTTTCGACTTGATTATTCTGTACCTCACCGCATCATTTATCACAGTGTTAAAAATGCATTGGGATAATGTCACTCCTTTACATCTCCAAAGCTCTTATTAGCTGGCAAACAAGGAAAGAAAAGGGGAAAAAAAAAAGGAAAAAAAAAGAAAAGAAAACCTCTGCTCCTGAATAACTACCAGTCATAACTACCTAGCATACCTTCAGATATTTTAATAAAGAATACTTGTCTTCTGTGTAATTATATCTTTAGAAAAAACATTGTGGTGTGAAATTAATGGTTATTCTCTAAAGTGGGAAATACTGCTTGTGTGGGCAATACTTCAAGGAAAGTGAGGAATATATAAATAAACTAAGATGTTTGATGGAAATGCAGGTTTCAAAATAGCTGCTATACCTTCTGATCTTTTTTCAGCCATGTATGTGGAAGTATTTGTTTGGAGCTGAACATATTTTTGGAAGTAAATAACTAGCTTTGGCTCATGCTTTGGCTTGTTGGTTAGATTTTTAGAAAGTGCTATGATGGTACTAAATGATCATCTTTTATAATAACTAGTTTATCCTCATTTCCTCTGAAGTTCAAAGAGAAAGCTAGCTCCCTGTTTGGAAATAGAAATTATTCTGTAAGTTCACATCTTTGCAACTGGCCCAACAGTTGTTCTCAGACTTGTCCAATTATCTGTGTGCTCACTGGAATTGCATACCTTCCTTTTGTTTATCTAGTTTATGTTGGAAATAAAGATGAACCTCACAATTTTTGTATATAAAGATGCTGCTGTTACTAAATGCATCTGGTATGATAGATTAGGATGATTTTCTGTGTGGCATTTTTAAGGGTATAATGTAACTGTTGTTTTGTCAAAAAACACTTCAACAACTTAATAAAAATATTTGCATTATCCCTGCCACCTTCCCTCTCATCTGGCATTCAGCTATTCAGGCACATGTCAAGCTGGGGCCTGATAATACAAGCAGAGTCAATCAGGCACTAGAGAAGCTTCAGTTGCACTTTCTGGCAGTCGTTGTTGTTTGTGTTATGCAATTGCACCACTTTGAAAAAATGTATCCAAGCTTCAGGAATTAAGGGCTAGACTATGAATCTCATTTTGCTTGTGAGTTAAACTGGACTTTGAACTCAGTGATGAAAGGTTGTGGACTATGTTCACTGTCACCTGTCCCTGGAGTCTGGTATATTTAAAGTCAGTCGTTGTCAGCTTAATATATATTCTCATATAGGGAAGATGCAACAAACTGGGTGTTAAGAAATGGCCAGTTCCATACTCCCCCCTCTTGTACTGACTTCTAACATTCCTGTGCACTTCTGCAGGTAGATGTAAATGTTACATGTGCTTGTTTCAGTGGCAGTTGTTGGGCTGAGGACAGGAGTAGCCAGGTGGGTGTCTCTGGCTGCGTTGTGGGAGTTCACGTGAGGTGGCACAAGTGGCCCGCTCTGGCCTGAAACACCTACAAAGAACTGTTGTCTCCCCAGGCAGGGACATCAGCACTAGAATGAGGTACCACTTCAGTCACGTAAAAGCTGGTGTCCCCGGTTCATGTATGATTTAGGGAATAACTGCGTGAGCTACAAGCCTTGTTTCAAAGAAAACCTGAAGGGCCAATAGTGGCATGTCGCATGATCTCTGGCGTGCTTCATGACCATTCAAGTGGTTAAACTTCTTCTGAAATACAGAAGAAGGAAACTGGATGTACACAATTTCAGTTCACTTGAGAGGATGAAAAATGTGTTAAATGGGAAATTAATGTCACCTGCTTTGAGTTAACTCATTCTTTTGGTTTCGAATGTAAGGTCTGTGAGATGTTGCCTTCAAATCATACAGTACCTGGTCACAGGGAAGTCCCCAATCATAACTGTGGGTTATCATGTTCCTCAGCAGTACGAAGTAGTAATCTTGCCTGAAACTTGCTGCAGCTTTCTGAAGCTCTGTGCACTCTGTAATTAGTATGTTGGTCGTGATGAAGGATATATTAACACTGAATTGAGGAGAATGCGAATATAAATATACTGATGCCAATCCTTCAATACCTCCAGGCTTTTTCCGTACACAAATACCCTAAGAACTTGTTTGAACACTAACTGAATTTTTCCTTGGATGATCAGTTTTCCCAGCATTCCTGTTTATCAGGGCAACACATACAAGTGTTTCAGAAGGAAGAACTACCTAAAATTAAAAGCACTTTCTTTAGTATGTTTTTATGTGAAATAAGAATATTTAGAAAGTCTGACTTCACTGGTGGTTGTGTGATTCAGTGCAACCTTGGCAGAGTAGCGAGGAGTTATATTTACACTGATGAAAATGTTGCATGGTCAGTGGTTAACATGTTAAAAGTCATCATTCTCCCAAGTTACCTTACTGTGTTATTTCTGAGTGGCAGCAGCCAAATAAAATTCATCTCCCTGCCTCTTTTTTTCTTTTTTTTTTTTACTTTTTAAAATACAAAACTAGACATGGAGCATTTTGGTTTAATTTTTTTTTAAGTATGTAAAGATCATCTTATTGCAATTCTAAACAATTCAAGTTAAATTGATGCCTGAGCTATGGTCCATGAAGAAGGACAAGAAAGACCGTGTACCCTCGTACAGCATATTCAGACCTAAGCACGGG